ATTTTATATATAATTTTATTTATTAATTTAATAGCTTCATTTATATTAGTGCTGATTTAGTTAATTTGAATTATATCAGTCTCTATTACGGTCCAATTTCATCAATATAAGATTAATAAGAAGATTAATCTCTATTAACTTTAATCTCGATTCAATGTATTCTTTTTTTTATAATTTTATGTAAGAATCTTATATTGATGAAACCAGACCTTAGAATTAAAAAAAGATAAAAAGTAAATTGAACCGAGAAAAAAAATTAATCTTATATATAGTGGAACCAGATTTGTCATATCTAGTATATAGATTAATTTTAATCTCGATTTAACTTCCTTTTAACTTGTTCTGATTCTCAGAATCAAAAACCGAGATTAAAAGTAATCTATACATTGGTAGAAATAGGCATTAAACATCATTTTACGTTCTTTGAAACTTTGTTCACTTTCTTCTAAATACTCACAATGTCCTTTAATTTTGGAGAATTTTTGTTAAGCATTGCGTCCTTGCATATTCTCGCTTTTACAACAATTATATTCCTATCTTAGATATTTGAATAGATATTTGCATTATATTACGTGTTCTGTCTTAAAAATTTATTATTTTAAAAAAGATAAGAGAAAAATATACTGAAATTTTCTCAGATTTGAGAAAAGTTGTATAATATACGTATTTGCTACCAAAATGGAGTAATATCGAAAAATAACATGAGATAAAAAAATAATGTGTCAAAGTATAGACAAACTATGAAGTTTCAATTTTCTTGATTTTTATAAGTTACTTTGTCATATAATTTTGAATGATAATATGAAATAATCTTGTTAGCACAATAAAATTGATTTTTATATTGTTCTAAATTTTTGTGAGATTTAAAATTGAATAAAGTTTACTTAATACTTATTCCTGTTCCAATCAGAGAAAAAATCAGAGAAAAAATTTTAGCATTATATTCGAATTAATTATTACAATTAAAAATCATGTGTCTCGTGATCTTGTGATGATTTAGACCTAGGATCTTATTTTCGGAAAATGTCACATAAAAATATTAGAAAACTATAATATATGTGAAGTATTTGTCAAAAGACAACACTGTATGGTTGCGAAAATTTTCCCAACGAATTTAATGAAGTTAAACCTTACAAGAATCGAGTGTCTTAAGATTGTGACTTTGGAGAGGTACAAATATACGCGATTTTTAAAATTCCAAAGTTCAAACATATCACAATACACACAGATCTAAACACAACTTCTTTTTTGTTAAATGAATTTTTTATTTAACAAATTAAATTAATTACATTTCTTTTTTAATTTAGTCCACAATCGAGAAACAGAAATTATTGCAAGGAGAAATTTTCTTTTTTTACATCGATAATCTACATGATTTGTTTATGAAATTTTTTATCTTTATCTAATTCTGTGACAATCTGCTTTCAAGACAGCGATATTAAAATGAATTTTCAGTGACGTATTAACATCAATACTTTTTCAAAAATCATCATATTATTTAATGTGTAAAGTTCCCAGCTTGATATTTCTTTGAGAAAATTTGAAATCACGCTCTTCACGCAATTTCATTGCGATGAAATCGTTTATATCCAAATATTTATCGAAAGTGTTATTAATTTATGGATATCTGATGGTCCGATAAATATTCTTAGAAAATTAAAATGCATAACACATAAAAAAATTAGAATCAGAGCAAACGATTGTACCTATTGCAAAAAAATAATATATTTTTTATTTTGGCTGCACTTATTGAATTAATTTAAAAAACATTAATGTAATTGACTTAATTTGTTTAATAAAAAAATTATTCGATGCGAAAAAAATATTCTGTACGCGCGCGTGTGCGCATTTGTAATTATATTTGGCCTCAAAAATCGCATTATTTCACTGAGAGAAATGATTTTGTTATAGAATAAGGGAAAGCAAATGTGATTTGTTTAAAAAACCGATCGATTTATTATGATTGTAAATTAATT